AAAATATTTTTACAGCGATAATCACTAATATTATCGTTATACAAAAATTTCAATAAAATTAAAAACACAGATTTATAACTCAGCAATCTAGTGGTGTTATCATTACGGTGCATTTGCGAACTATATACCTCAAAATTTGAAAATTTTGACTACTAATGTGTAAATATAGACTTTGACTGAGATAATCAACATTCCCCAAGTCATCATGCGTTATTTAATAAATTCTATGTCTAATGAGTGTGGAAAAATTGGTTAGCCCGTGGAAAAGATGGGTCAATTACTTAGATTTGGTGACCAATTGCCCGCTTAATTTCGCGAATGCGCCGTAATGCGCTAAAAAATCGTATCATAATTACTCCTGCCCTATGTAACCAAAGGATCAATTTGTCAAGAGGTACGTACGTACGTACTGAGGTCAATTTCGATCGACGCATTACTAACTTTATTTCGCTCTATATCATTGCTATTTTGTACTGTTTCGTACAAAATTCATATAGACTGATTACAAGATAATTAGTTAGGTAGCAAAACTTATCGTAACTTCTCAACATATATATATAGCCTACCACTCTACCTTAATTCACGGCAGACCTTGCTCTAATTACATAAATTCTGATGCTTCCTGAGGGTAGGATCCTTAGAGTTGTGTCTATAAGAGTCTGACATGTTTGGAAGGTGGTGATATATATGAAATAAAACATATCCACCACCGCAACCTTCCCTTATGATTGAGGTAATGGGCAACGTAGCTTTTAATTAGCAATCCTTAACAAGTAGAATAAATTGAAGAAAATTTGCAGTCATCAGGGCAAAGTAACCGTAATCCTTGACAGTAGTGATTAGAGCATCTGTAGAGAGCTCTTGATTGGGAAGTTCTTGACCAGTGACATTGCAGCCAGGCATTTTACAGGTGGTTGCAAGTTGAGACTCTGGATGTTTATTCTACCGGCATTGCGAGAGCAGCCCAACTATTACCTTGATTAAAGAACTTAACATCAAGCTAGTCAATAGTAGATAAGGGCTTTAGTTTTGAACTTGAATGCATTTTCTGAGTTCCATAAGAACCTCAGGTACGCAATAAGACTTGTTATATGTTATTCTTTCTGTAGAGTTCATGTTTATCCTTGTGCATGGGAACAAGCACGTAGATAAAATAAGGTCCCTAGTTAATCTAGTATCGAAACCCTAATTCGAGTATTCATGACGTTGTCTACTGTAATGCTTGGAGGTGGAGTACCATTAGCAATATTGTCAAATTGCTGAGACACTCTAGTCAAAAAAGGTTCGTGATGAGAGGGAAACCTGTCATGCAGCAGCTATCTGAAAAAGTAGTAGGTGGTAAAAACCTCTGGAAATATCCCAGTAAATCACAGTCAGGTCAGACAGGCCTCTGACTAATTATAACAGAGGTTATATTTGAGCCGTTAGCGGTTTTTCTGCAATTTGATTGGATAAAAAAATTTGCAGCCAATCAAATTGCTTAATTTTGCAAAATTTTGACCTCTGTTAGCTATTTTTCAAATATGACCTCCATTAATATTATTTGGGGTCCTGGTCAGGCAGTATAGGTAAAGCTGCTCAAGTGTACCATAAGGTGAAGCTTGTTCCTGGGGTAGGTGAAAACACCAAAAGAACTACAAGTCTATAGTAAGAAACTTTTTGAGTTTACCAAATGCAGTTCATTGACTAAATGGCAGTGAGGTAGCAACACATAACAACTTAGGACTTGATTCTAAGCTCTGGTAGTGTGAGATTCGGGCTGTAGAGCAATCTGCATTGCACGCTAAAAAGGCCTACATTCCATAATAGGGGAAATCATAAGATATAGTCAATAGATAGCAATAATATTAAGTGATATCACCTATAGGAACCTAAACATTAGTACATCCTAGTATAGGTACCCCTTCTTATGGGTGGAATTTGCCGACACTCATTTTCCGACACCTTATATTAATTTATCCGTTTACTCGAATTAAAACTCAGCTGACGACTCCCTACCAATCATGATCATAAATAACGCAAATTTTTGAATAACAGAAATTTGGCTCAACCGGGCAAATGATTGGCTGACACGTGCCGCGAAGCGGCACGTGTTCATTTGCCCGGTTGAACCAAGTTTCTGTTATTCAAAAATTTTTGCCGAATAATGTATACGCATTCAATACGTAACTTGTTTGCATTTGGTTAAATTAATCCTTAACTCTTTTTAAATTGTGTGTCTCGACATAACACTAGGGCGTTGTTGTAACCAAAAAGAAGATCTGTAAATTGATTATCGTAAATTGATTAACGTTAATCAATTAATCAATGTTCACCCACAATGATTACACTTCGATAACACAGATTGCTTGATCATCAAACGGATTTATTAATACGTAGAAAAATGATATTAAGAATTAAGAATTAATCTATCATGTACTGTACGTACGTACGTATGTAGGATGGATCCTTCAGGGTCCAAGTCTGATAAGTAAAAAGAAACGAGTCAAATTTACAAGTTTTCCCTTTCGGTCACTCATAATTAAACCAATTTAGTAGTAAAATTAATGCAGGTATATAAAAAAAGTTATGCAATCAAGAATTTCAGGTTATATCTAGTTTTAATAAAAACACCCTATGAGGGACGTCGGATCAGCCTATGAATTATATACTCGTGTTTTACGTGCGTACGTACACTCGTGTAATGTCTTAACGTTAATTCTAACGAAGTTAATGCCATTATTAAGAAACGTAACGGATTTTTGTAGCCCTGACGAATGGGTGAGTTACTCTTTAAATTTTTCGTTTCACCAGCTAGTCGACTCATAAATTTTATACAATGTGATAATAGGGACCCTTAACAAAAGACGGTTTAGATCTCACCCCATGCGCTAGAGAAATGTAAGTATTATCTCCATATTTATATATTTAAAAATATTATCATCGTAATTAATATTTGGTTTATTTTTTTTAGCCTTTTGAACGCTGCTCTACCTTTATGCGTTGTCATTATTTCTACATTATCCCTGGTCATTCACACTTGTTGTAGGCGATCAATAGATCAAAGTGTCTATTTCCCTTTAGTATTCAATGAACAAATCACAAGATCTCAGAGTGCACCGAGTGGATCCATACCAATGTTAATGCATGATGTCGTCCAGCTAATATTATCCTTCATTCAGCTAGGATTTGTAGGTTTCATTCTTGGCTGGAGGATAAATGAGATTTCTGAGTCAGACGATAGTGAAAATGCTCTTTATTGGTTCATTGGAATAGTTGGCCTGTTTATTTCTTGGGTAATTATTTTGAATTGTTTGCTGTATTACTTATTACCGTGATCTTATTAAATTAGTCCTCTTAATACATTCAGCTTTATATCACCGCATTGATTGCTTGTCATTCTATGACGCGAAGATCTCAATATGCATTCATTAAACATTTATTGGTTTTATACACGCTTTTATTCATTCTTGCGTGTTTTAATTTACGTTCTATTATTATAAATGATATGATAAATGAAACACCTGGAATTGTTTTCATATTTGCTATATGGAATGTTGGTGCTTGTGGTGTATTGCTTGTTTCTTCTCTTCTAAGACCGCGAAATCCTGAATTGATGTACACAAGAAACAAAATGATATCTCGTGATACTATCGCGTCTCTGTGGTCACTCATCTCTTTTTCGTGGATGGCTCCAATAATTAGATTGGGTAACGGACATGATCTTACTGTGGATGATTTATGGGAGTTACCATTTAGATGCCAGGCTGCTCATTGTTACTTGGAATTAGATCGGTGAGTGGATTGTTTTCTTTTTAAATTTTGTCTTATTAAATTTTTATTGAATATACTAATTAGATTTACAATAGAGCACAAAATACGGATTTTCTAACTCGATTACTTTGTGCCAATACCGCTAACCTTGTTCTTTTCATTATTATCGCAATACTACGCTCTATTTCTTCCCTTCTTACTCCTTTCTTCTTATATCGACTATTGGATTACATGTCGAAAAATGAAACTAAAGGTTATACTGAAGAACCTTATCTTTATGTATTTGGAATATTATGCTCTGAGTTTGCTGGTGTTGTTTTTTTAAACCAGTTAAATTATCAGATGTCATGGCTAAACATTCGTGTTGAACAAATGCTGAGCTTATTAGTATATGAAAAACAAATATGCTTAAAAACTACTCAAACTAAAATCAAAGGTGGAAGGCCATACAACGTTCTGACAAGTGACGTTTATGATATTGCTGGCTTCTTTTCCAATCTTCCTTTTCTTTTAACAATTCCTTTGGAAGTCATCGCGACAACGGTATTTTTATATTATTTATTGGGAATGTCTAGTATTGCTGGTGTGGTAATGATGATAGCGTGCCTTTGGTATAATAAAAGGTATGGAAAACACGTCAATCGATTGCAAAAACGAGTCAAAAAAGCCAGAAGTGGAAGAGTTAGTGAAATTTTTGAAGTGAGTAATTTGCATTATTATTCATTCTCAATAATATCAATTCTTTATTTACTTATCATATATATTATTAGTTACTTAATGTAGTTCGTACGATCAAGATGTTGGCTTGGGAGAGCAGTTTTCATGAAAAATTAATGCGTAATAATTTTCCTATTTCACTTATTATTGGTTTAATTAAATATACAATTCTTCAGCAAAAATTTACCAAAATCTTTTTTATTTTTTGCATTACTAGTCTCGCGTCAATTTGAACTTAATCAACTTCAACATTTCTTCTGGCGTACAACATTGCTCACCTTATTAGTTCACCTTACACAATTCTTCGTGACATTGCTTACATTCACTTTTTACACAATTGTATTTCAAAACAATTTAACAGCTGCAATTGTTTTCACGAGTCTTATGTTATTTAATATATTGAAACAATCAATGCAAGTTTTCCCGGATTTGGTGGTTGAACTTAAGGCGCTTGTGATCTCTTTAGGGCGCGTAGAAGAGTTTATGAATGAAATTGAGACTCAAAAACTTTCTAGTTCAGATTTTACAACTACCAATATTGGTTTTACTGGTGTTAATGTGGCTTGGGATGATGATATCATTCGAAGTCCTAATGATTTTGTGTTAAGAAATATAAATTTAAAGTTTCCTCTTGGTGCACTAAGTATTGTTTGTACGTATGAATCTTCTTGTGATCTCTGTCTTATTTTCTATTTTACTTACCATTATAATTTTGCTGAAAGGTGGTCATAAGTCTTCTGGAAAAACTCTCCTTTTACTTTCACTCCTTCGTGAAACATCATTATTATGTGGTACTATCCATTTTCCTACAACAAAAGTTGCATATGTTCCTCAACAACCGTGGTTAGAAAACTCAACTATACGAGAAAATATACTATTTGGCACTAATTTCGAAGAAGAACGTTATTGGAACGTCGTTGATGCATGTGGTTTACTTAAAGATTTTGAGAATATGGAACAAGCTGATTTCACTGAGGTACGACTATTTTATTTAGTTTTTTATAAAAGCAGTATAGTATTATTCTAAAATATATTATTAATGTATTAAAAGTATAATGATAAAGATTTAGTATTAAGCGATGAACAAAAGGCTCGTATAGCATTTGCAAGAGCTCTATATAGTGATGCACAAATTCTGCTATTAGATGATTTTTTGTCGATTATGGATTCAACTACAGGTTTATATCGATATATATATTAATAACGGCATTGACTTGAAATTTATGCTTTTAATATTTCCTAATACGGTACACCTTAAATTTTATTAAAGCACGTCAAATAATTGACAATTGTATAAAAAGCCCATTTATTGCTGGACGAACTGTGATTATTGTAACATATTATGTTCGCGACCTTTTGGATATTTCTGAATATGTAGTAATACTCGGAGGTGGGACTGTTATAGCTAAAGGAACTACTGGACAACTGCTAGATTCTGAAGCTTTATCCAATGAAATGTTTAGAACAAACGTAGATGCTAAACATGACCAAATAGATACAATTACACAGAATTCACTTAATCAAACTGATGATAAAAAAGTTTGGACAACACATGAAGGTATATTTATATATTTCTTACAAATTTAACAATTTTAGACAAAACTTATTTATTGTAATTGATTATACTTAATATAGTGCATGATCAAGTAAAAGACCGGCTCAATCTTTACTTTTTTTACCTCAAATCTAGTGGAGGGTTATTGTGTTGGATTATATTTGCTCTTCTGTTAATTATTATTCGAGTTCTAACGATTGGTGAAACCTATTGGCTGAAAGAATGGTCAGATCCTAATTCAACATTATTTAGTCTATTAGATGGTTATAAATTATCTCAAGCGAATTTCATAGCCATATATGCTTTAATCGCCTCAGCATCTGCGCTTTTTATCATTTTCCGTATGGCCTGCCAACTTTTAATTTCGCTTAGAGGTTCAAAAACATTATTTTCAAAGCTTCTTAATGCAATTTTGAATGCTCCCTTTGTCTTTTTCGACATTGTCCCTCTTGGCAAAGTAATGAACCGCTTTTCAAAAGATTTAAGTATAATAGATCAGGGTCTTGTAACGGTTATATCAAATTTCCTTGGAAATATGATAGGCACAATAAGTATACTTGTGGTGATTACGGTCATAGCACGAAAATTTATTTTTATTTCCATCCTAGTGGGTAGGTTAAAATGCTATTAATTTTATACAAGAGCTCGATATAAACCTATTATTCATGCTTCTATAAATATATTCCTCTTATATAGTTGCACTATATATTGCGATTAGTAGCATGTACATTAATGTTTCGAGAGAGTTAAAACGTCTTCAATCCGTGACCCGTTTGCCTGTTGTCTCATGGTTCAATGAGACATATACGTAAGTGACTTAATACATTAAAAGTTATTAAAAAGCATTATTAGTTTATTATCATTTTTGTTATTAGAGGTATTACAACAATAAGAGCATTTGCAGCCGAACGTCGATTTGTTAAAAAATTCACCGACCGGTAACTTGTCATTACTTGTCATCATCAGACTTTTTCTCCATATTATTTATCCGTTATGATTTTGTTTATATTCATTATCTACATATTTAGATTAAATATATCAAATCGAACTACATACCTTCTTCATATGTCTAACCGGTGGATGCACATTCGCATCGGCAGTATAGGAGCCTTGATATCTTATTGTGTTGGTATTTTAATTCTATGGCAGCATGATAGAACTGATAGTATTGATGCTAGTTTAGCTGGTTTTTGTATGATTTATGCGCTTGGATTTGTGCCTATTGTGGCTGTAAGTATTTCTTAATTATTTTACTAGAATAATTCTGACAAAATATATAAAAGTAATAATATATATAACACCTAGGTTCTTATCAAAGATTATTCTATAGTAGATTCTGGTTTAAAGAGGTGAATATAATTAAAATTTTACTATTTTTATTTGATATATTGCACCTTTTCACGTTCGGATTGTCTATTAGTGTGGAATACATTAAGGAATATAGTAACATGCCACAAGAACCTTCATCGACGATGACAATTGCTCATCCTCCAGCTGCGGTTAGATGCTTATGATTTATTTATATCTTATTTTAATAGCAATTATGGGGGTTTAACATTAATTAAAAACAGTGGCCGACCGATGGTAACATTAAAGTATCCGGTCTAACAGTTCATTATTCACCAAATGATGAACCTGCATTAAGTGATATTAAATTTTCTGTAAAAGCTGAGGAAAAAATTGGTATAGTTGGAAGGTAAAAAAAATATATATATATATATATTTAATGGTTGATAAAAACTTTTCATGATTTAAAGTTCTTTATTCATTGAAACTTTTATTATTAACCAATTATAGGACAGCAGCTGGTAAAACTACATTGGCAAATTCGTTTTTAAGGTTGACCGAGGCTACTAAAGGTCGAATTGTGATTGATGGAATTGACATTTCAACATTAAGCTTAGAAGACTTAAGATCACGGTTGACTATTATATCTCAAGGTCAGTAATTTAAACAATTTTTTTTATTATACACAACGGATTATGAAACTGAAAATATAATATTTGCTTTTATTAGACCCTATACTTTTCGAGGGAACTATTAGATCTAATCTAGATATTCGTGAAGAATATACTGATGAAGATCTATGGGAATCATTGAGACGAGTTCATCTTGCCAATTTTGAAGAGGAACACGGTCAAGTTTTCATTATCGGACCGATAACAAGCTTAGATGATTTGGTTAGTGAAGGTGGCAGCAATTTCTCTCGCGGAGAAAGGCAATTAATTTGTTTTGCAAGAACATTACTGAGGCGATCTAAGGTACTACTTTTATTCTATACATTGTCAGGTAACGATGTACAGTCAATATTCTCTAAACCGAACTTGGATAAACCGAACTTTCAAGGTTTAAATTTTATTATGAAGTTCTGTTTAGGCATTAAATATAATCCTTAAACTGAACTCTTATAAGCCCGAGGGTTCGGTATAGAGTCAATTTTGTATTGTGCTTGTTACTAAGTACGGTAGATATGCTGATTTTTTTAATTTTTTAATAGATTGTTATTATGGATGAAGGTATCTTATTGAAAAAATATGTTAACTGATTAGTAGTTAAGCTATTATAATTTATAATTTTACCAAATTTTGGTCCACCATCATTTATAGTAACCACTGATCTTGACACCGAGACGATTAATAAAATACGGGATATTATACACAATGAGTTCCAACATACTACAATTTTATATATTTCAAATCGCTTTGATATGATTATAAACTTTGATCGAATTCTTGTTCTTGGTGTGTGTTTATTTTATTTTTATTGTATTATTTTTATTTATTTATTTTGATACGATGTAACATTTATTATGAAAATTTTTTTTAACTCTTAGATGAAGGTAGAATTGTTGAATCCGACAGTCCATATAACTTGATTAATAATCCAGATAGTATGTTCAGATACTTGTGTGAACAGACTGGTCAGATTGAGTCATTGATGGAAACTAAGAAATTAAATAATCGAGAGGATGGTTATGATGATATGGATGAAGTTGAAACAGAAGTATTGGATGAGCAAATTGAGTATAATTAGAGCATGAAGTAGATGAAGAACGAGAAGGGGATCAGCAAAAGCGGCCAAAAAGTCTTGACCAACACAGTTCCCATGATTATAGAGAAGTTCAATAAGAGCGTTATGATTAGGAAAGGCTATAAGAAATTACCTGTTTCTTGTAAAGTTTCAAAAACATAATTCTATATTTATTTATACCTAATGATTTTTTTAAACATCAATTCGCTATTGATTGTAATTTTAATACATTATAATTCTAAATTCGATATACTTTTATGAAAATTACTTTGTTTAGCATATGGGGTCTTTGCCTTGAAAATCAAGTTATGGGACATAGTAAATTATATGTCCCATATTTGATTTTCAAGGCAAAGACCCCATATTTTAAAACCTTATTTATTATACGTATCATGAAAATTATTTCATGATGTATTATTAACTTACTTTGTATTCTATATGTTATATTTTAACATAATTTAAAAGGTGAGTAATTCTCTTATATTTCGGCCTTAATGTGTTTCTGTTATACAACAAAATTCTATCCTTATTCTAACGTTAACACTTTTAAGATTTTAAATCAGATTAGTGATCCAAATCGTTACGTCCCAAAACCGATCCTGTTATATCCGATAAAAAATTGATCCACCATGTCTGTTCCATAATCAAACCCGATAACCTGCCATTTTTGATAACCGATACTTATAAGATATCGGGTTTGTCGGGTATTATAAATCAATTTGATTGTTTATATTTATTTATAATCATGTGACCAGTGAGTCATTAGTAATCTTACCCAGGTGCGCCAACAAAATTTAACTGTCACGTGATCATCGGGAAAATCTTTTATGTTAGGGTTAGCATTTAAATTAATGTTAATGAGTGATAGGGGTATAGTAAAATTACTCGAGGAATTTTTTTTGTTAGTGCACAAAAGGCAGTTTCTTATGTAAATTTTTGAGAAATAAGCGATTTTTGACAAAACTGACGTTTGTTTTGGATCTTCGTGATCGTGTTACGTTGCACCAAATTGTGATTAATTATTGGATAATTTGATGTAGATCATCACGTGACTGTGAAATTTTGTTGGCGCCCCTGGGGTAGTTGCCATTACTGCATTAGTATCTTAAATCCGATAACCTCTCAAAAGCTGTCCATCATCCTATCGGATTTGAGAGTGTGTATTGTATATAGTTGACAACTAATTGTTAACTAATCAAATTAGTTAAATGTAGACAATTAAACTTGCGATAATTCGTTAAATTTTATTAAAAACATACCATTAGTTGCAGGTTTTTTTTAACATATTTTTTAAATTTAAGGCAATATTTTATCTTTTACGTATCTGCAACACATGTATTTGATTGTTTAAATGATTAAAAAAATATATTTACAATATTATGTAAAAATTTATTTTTGTAATTTGATTTATAACAATAAATATTATTATATAATTTATATTACAGTTCGGGATATCTCCAAATTTGGTTTGTGTAACGGATAACGTTTTGGAATAATGATGATCGATTCTAGAATCGTCTATAAAATTTCTCGTATTTTTATTGGCTCGTAGTCATACTTTTTTAACATGAAATGTTGAGCCTTTTATGATATCTGTTGATAACCAATAATTATATATGTAAAAAGTAGAAGTTTCAAAGGTTCGTAATCAATAGAAAATCAATTATAATCAGTCTTGTTTAACGAAATAAATGAGACCCGAAAAAAAGGTAATTTCAAAGCTTATACTTCTTGGTTACTTGAATTTCTACACTTTTAAACATTATAAAGGCAATAATTTCATAGAATAAGTGCACTAATATTTTACCAGGCGAATTTCTCAAAGTATTAGAACAAGAAAGAATGCCCAAGAATAGCCACCAGTTTTGTTCGGATCAGAAAAAGTAAGCGAGGTAACAAAGGCACCTTGCAAAAATATCACGCCAACTTCCTTGGATCTTAGAATGATCTTGGATCGGATGGAAGTATATTAGTAGACGCACTTTGTAAAACATCCCGGGTTTCTTTAAATCTTGATCAGAATAAACTCGAACTAGAAGCAAATAGCACTTTGCAAAAACATCACGCTAGCTTCTTTGAATTAGAATTAGGAGGAGAAAATGCATTAACCGATGCACTTTGAAAAACTCTACGCTGACTTTTTTGTGAACAATCTTTGATCAGAAGGGGAGAATCTCGAATCAAGAGGTAACATATACGCCTCACGTTTCTTTTTTTTTCTTTATCAAGTTTGTCTTATTTTTTGTTTGATATTCTAATATTTATTTCTTTTTTTTAATTAAATACCG